GAGAACGGTTGTCAGGTAAAATGATTTCAGGCGAGAATGTTTGATTCCTCATCAAGTGTTTTATCAATTTTGAGAGGGAAACGAGCATTTTCAGAAAATCAGGATCTTCTAAAAGCGTATCGCCCAGGCCCTGCTTTCTAAGTAAACCACTACGAAATGAATTCCAGCAAAACGAGGGAGGAGACAAAGACGGAGAAGGCTTAGGGTCCACGGGAGAGAGAATCCCACACGGGTTGGTTGAGAGACTGAAGCCTGTGGCCGAAAGCAGAGCAGGAAAGCAACGGGCTCCAGGAACGACGCTTCAGGTCGGTGAACACGGGGTAGAAGAGTCTGGAAGGCTTCCTTCCTCACGTGGTAAATCGATTCTAGGGCATTTTACAGTCCCTTTGGAGAATCTGGGGATGATTCATGAGTGAGACTTAGAAAATTAACTTTAAAAGACGGAGGACGTCTTTCATTTCAGAGAAATAAAGAGATTACACAGGGAAGATGCAGCTATAGTATGCTTCTCGACTCACTGATGATTCCAAGGTCACAATAACTTACACATTAATTGTAAAATGCGACCCCAAACTGCGCTAACAGAATTGGGAACACAAAGAGCAGCAGGTGCAATAGTGCCAAATCCTTCTCTTCCATAGCAGGAAGTCCGCAGAATGTCTCAAAGCAAGACACCGCAGTATGCTCTTGCTTGGGTTTTGGTTTGGTTTGGTTTTTGCCAGAAATACGGAGATACATTACAGAAGGGGGCAAACAGCTGGAAGGGGTTAAAAGAAATCACTTCTAGGAGGGACGAACCTGGGGCAAGAGGGATGCTTCTGCTTGACTAAGCATTGTGATACTACTGTTTTCCTTTTTAAACTGTGTACGTGTATCAGTTTGATTTAAACAATTAAAAACATGCATAGGAGAACATGTGGAGAAACTGGGCGATGAAAATAAGATCTCAAATCGTAAACGTAAGACGGAAATATTGCTGGACTCTATCACATCAAAATTAAAGATGTTTGTACAGTGAAAGCTTGGTTAATAGGGGCTATTCGGTGGTGACTGTCTAGCAAAGGATATTTGCAATGTGCAACACCAATACGGGATCAACCTCTAGAACATGTATGAAACCCCTGCAACTCTCTATGGAAAAGATTAGAAAACGTTGAAAAACTGGCGAACGATCTGAATAAGTAATTCTCAGAAAAGGAACTCCTAATGGTCCACAAGCATGTGAAGAAATGTCCAATCTCATTAGCAACTGGAGAAATTAAAAATTAATCCTTTAAAAATTATTATCACTTTATACTCACCAGATTGCCAAGAATTACGTAAGGTAACGTCAAGGACAAGAAGAAACAGACGGCTTCGCACACCGCTGGTAGAAGTGTAAACGATCCGGGGCGCCCGGGTGGCTCAGCGGGTGAAGCGACCGACTTCGGCTCAGGTCGTGACCTCACGGTGGGCGGGTTCAAGTCCCGCGTCGGACTCTGAGCTGTCGGCACAGCCGCTTTGGATTCTGCGTCTCCCTCTCTGTCTGCCCCTCCACCACTCACGCCCTGTCTTTCCTCTCTCAAAAATAAACATTTTAAAAAAAAAAAATTTTTTTTTTTTTTTTTTTTTTTTTTTTGAGTATAAATGATACACCCGTTCTGGAGGGCGGCGTGGCATTGTGGAGTGGACGTACAGCACAGCAGCCGGCAACCTCACGGATTCAGGAGAGCCTTGTACGGATCTGGCCGGCAACGCGGTAGAGACGCTTGTTGCTACGGGTGGTAGCAGAAAGATGGCCGGTGCGCTCACTAGAGCCCCTGTGAAATCTGCACTCGCTGCGCAAAGTACCTAATTTCTCGGAATATGTACATACCCAAGGGCCTGTGTAAACCCAGTTACACCGGGTGCCAGATCCCATGGGGAAGAGGGGAGTAGAACAGCCGGGATGAAGGGAAAAAACAAGAAGGCAAAATAAAACCAGAGTGAGGCCTCCCCCAAGCTCTCTGATAATATTTCACGGACTAAATATTAACAAGGTTTGTGCACTTAACGTTCCTCCCCGCAAAGTAAAATTTACTCTGTTTCTTAAAAGAAGGAATGTCCATAATTATATCAAAGTAAAAGTGTTCAAAGGGAAAGGAAGAGCTTTTTTTGACAATTGGTTTTAAAAGGAAGGTTTGTAAGAGGTGAAGACTTGTTGTTATCAGTGGTAAAATTTTCATAGCAACAGGGAGGTTTTAAGCTTTTACCAGGGTTCGTAAATGGTTCAACTGTGTCCTCACAGCTTCTGCTAAAGACATTTTACCTTCTCCAGTGAGGCGCTTGAAGTCTACAACAGGGACAAAACTGGAGTAGAAAAGAGCCCTTCTTTCTGTCCACCTCTTTCAAAGTCAAGTTTATAGTTAATTCTCCCTTTACTCCAAACTGTCACATAGTCTAAAACTCTAATTTGGGCCCATGCTTTAGATTTAATGCCCCTTTTCCTAGACAATTTTTCATCTTTCCTTCCTCCTCGAACTACCCTTTGGGGAAGTATTAGAAATCAGATACTGACCAGGGCGCAGGGAAAGAGATCTTAGAAAGGTCAGAAGCCAAGCAGGCTGGATCCTAGGGGTGGATTCGTGTATCTTTCTGCGACTGGTCCTCTCACCCCCGCCAAAACCCAAGCCGGAATCCTGCTGTGTGATGCCTAGAGTCAGTGCCGTCAGAATCGTGATCTTTGATTATGTTCTGCTTTATACTGTCCTTAGTTGAGATCAGTGAAACATGGGCCCCTTACTCTTTGTAGTAACTCCCATCCCTTCCCAATGTAATCAGCACCTACCAGTTGGGTCGCTGGTCAGTTAAATAGTGCTCTGCTAAAGCACCGTTTCTCGTTCCTAGCATACGCAGTTAAAATACTGGCATCCTGAGTGGATCTCTGAAAAAATTACAATGTGTTTTGTTAGCAATTTCTTGAGTATTGTGAAGAATTACTATGACATTTGTCATGGCCACAGTACTATTGCTGATATTTCCGAGCTGTCTGCTATCCCTTAGAAGAAGAAAGAATGAAGTTCCCCACCTTAAGCTGCTTATCAGTTTTTCTCTCGTGATAAAAGCCTCCAGAGCAAATCAGGAAACCAACTTGGCATCTTTTGTATTTTAACATATTTTAAACACTTGAAGATACTAAAAAATTTATTCTGGATAGTTCCCCAAAGAATAAAAAAGGGATGCCTGAGTGGCTCAGTCGGTTGAGCATCTGACTCTTGGTTTCAGCTCAGGTCATGATTCCAGGGTCGTGGGATCGAGCCCCATGTCATGCTCCGTGCTGAGTGTGGAGCCTGCTTGGGATATTCTATCTCTCTCCCTCTCCCTCTCCCCCTCCCCGCGCCCCCTCCTCTGCCTCTCCCCTGTTCGCACATGCTCTCTCTAAAATTAAAATAATAAAATAAAATACAAAGCAAAAACTTAAGAGTAAAAATTGGTATACAGGAGAAACATTGAGCAAGGTTTTATATGATATTCACAAATTAGGTGCTTGTATTTTTATCACGGGTATTGAGGCCCCTGGTCTTGAGCTAACTATGTGTCACGTGGTTTGGGGGTTTTTTAAGGAGCATATTCTACATGTTTTGGAATGATCAGACCTTGCGAGATGACAGAATCAGACATGTCAGCTTGAATTTTAACTCTGCCATTAACTACATATCCATGAGTAACTGATTATTTTCTCTGAGTCTCAAGGAAATATTATCCGTCTTTACGAGGGTATTATCTCCATTAAATGAGATGAGGTATATGAATTATTGGCACAATGTCTGCTGGTGGGGGCTCAGTCCACACGGGATCAATTTTAGAGTTAATACAGAGGTAGTCTGTGTTCTACTTGGAATTGCGTCAGACCCCAGTGCTGCTTTGAAGCCTTTGTGGTGTATAAATCACATATTGAGAAGAGCAGAATTTATTTTTAACTTAAATTTTAAAGCTTTGAATGGTCCCTTTAGTTTTTTAATAAGATACATTAGTTTCATAAAAATAAAGACTACTTTATAAACAGGATTGCATTGGCATTTGCATATTATTGGAATATAGAATAAAGTTCTTACTAGTTTAAATCAGTCACAAATATAAAAAAGAAATAGTCAAATTTGTTTTCAAAAATAAATATGTTCTAAATGCTTACTCCAGCCCTGTTTGAAAGGCTTTATGTTCACGTGTTCACGCCATGAAGTAGATACTATTATTGAACCTATTTTATAGAATGAGGAGAGCAAGACACAGAGGAGTTAAATAGTTTATTAATTACTCCGGAGAGGTAATTTGAAGAGGAGAGGCATGTTCCAGATCGCTGAAGTCTGTGTTGACTTACCGCCAGATAGAACAGATAAGACTTCGAGAACTTTACTGGATTTGCCTTAAGAAGTTTCCGGCTGCCATCTTTCTCTCTCTAGAATAGTGTGTGTGTGTGTATTTGTCTACTGAAGGGTAGGTAATACCACCTGCTTCCATAGGAGGAAACAGATTTGTTAAGCATATTGTTGGTTCTTGGTCCCAGAAAATAAAATACTTGTTTTGTAGCAGGGACAAGAATTTTCAGTTACTCTGTTCTTCCAAAGAAGGTATAAAAGCATATGAAATTTCTGTTTTTGTAAAGGTATAAATATGTGACATTTCACTTAACTCTTTGCTGAAAGATAATTTGAAGAATTTGTAAAAATCCTGACTCAAACTTTGTGGGCAAAAAGAAAAAATAAAGCCACAGTTTTTAGGTTTTCAAATGTCATTCAAGAACGATTATTTAACTTCTTATATTATTTTTAGCATCACCTAGCTCAGTATTGCCTAATAAAAATATTTGAAAAGCGTAAATTACAGAACGATATGGGAAATGAAAATGATTCATCCCACTTATATTTAGAATATTTTCTAGGAGCTCGTGTGGGGCCCAGGGAGTCACATTATGGAAATCCTTTAAGTAATTGGTGTTCTTAATAATTGGTATATATATTTTTTTTTATCAATTTGTTTTGCAGCGCAAGACTCATCAGTTTTTTGTCAAATCTTTTACGACTCCAACCAGATGTCACCAGTGCACCTCTCTGATGGTGGGTCTGATAAGACAGGGCTGTTCCTGTGAAGGTAAGAACAAACCGATTGACTTTAGAGTCCTAACATTGACTCCCTAAATTGTAATCGAATAACTTTATTCCCCTTAAAAGGTATATAAATATAACAGGAATACAGGTAATAAACTGAGCACCTTGGAGAAACTAGATAGACAGCCCCTAGGAACCTCTTCCAGGGGAGATCTATTTAAATGTGTCTCATTCATCTTTCTTTCACTATTTGGATGAATTTGAGGTCCTGGAGCGTGAGAGAAGACGTGACGGTTTCCTTGAATCTGTTCATTTAATTGTGACCTTGTTTAATTTCCCTGACAAGAGAACTCATTCTTAAAAAGTACGCAGTTCGGTATCTTTTCAGAAATACTAAATGTGTGCCACTTTGGCTCAAAAGATACTTCTTCCCAGTATTTGTAGCAGCGGTCTTCCCCACCACTCATTGATTCATTGATCCATCCATCACATGTTCATGGGATACCTGTTGCACACTTCTAGGCACTGGGGATGTAGTCGTGGGCAGGAGAAAAGACAGAGCCTGCCCTCGGGGAGCTCACATTCTGAGAAATGAACGATCAGGGGTCATTGAAACCGAAAACAAAGTGTATTTGTCTGGACACCACTTTATTTTCCCCAAGACTTCTAAGATGAAAATGATTTAAATGTATTGGGACACATTATATTTGTTTGGAAATAGTGCAGGAAAATACCTTCTTTAACCAAATGAGATTTCTCACTTTAACGGTGTCTTCTATCTCATTTACTGGTGTATCTTATGAAAAAGATAAGAAAGTAGTTGCTAATTTTAATTCTAGTATTAGTTTCCATGTCTTAGCCCTTAGGGATGGAAGGGACTTTGAGGGGAAGGTCATCAGTCCACATGAGATGCAGGTGTTCCCCTTGTAGAATGTGCTTGGGCCTGGTCTGTATCTGGTCACTTTGGATAATGGGGAATTCAGAGCATCTTAAGGCAGCACATTCTATGTGTGGGTAGCTCAGAAGATCCAGACCGTATCATCTCAGCTGGTCTTTGAGATGCATCGGTTTAGAGCCAAAGAAAATGGTCTGGGTTAAAAAGTAGATTTGAGAGTTAGCACAAAGTGATGAATGGAAATGGGGTTTTCCAGGAAAAAAAGCACAGTTTGAAAAGGGAACAGGTATGAGGACATAACCTTAGGAAACAGAGTTCAGGGGAGGTCAAAGGCAAAGATAGCAAAGCCGTCTGAGAAAGGAATAGCCCATGTCCTTGAGCAGGAAGGTGTGATGGATGCCAAAGGAGAGAATCTGTGCAGTTGTTAATCCTTGTCTCATTTTGGATTTAGCCAACATTTCAAAATGTCCTTTCAAAATCTGTCGGAGAGAATCCCAGACAGCTACCTGGCTTTAGGTGCCTTACCATTTCTTAGGCACCAGTCATTTGCAATAACATAGAAGGGAGTTTTGAGACCTCCCCAGACTCCCTTCTAGAGTCTCAGGTCAGGAAACTGTGCCTGTCTTCCCTGTAGACCCCTAGAACTCTGCCCTGTGCACTGTTGGGGACACGTTAAGTTAGACCCTGCCCAGGCTTTCGTAAATGTGGTGACAGCCTCCGAAGAGTCCTGTCATTTTCATTTCTTCCTGGTTGACCGAAGTTAGTTCCTGTAAAGGACAGTTATTTTATTGTTTCTGCTGCTGTTGGGAGGTGAGATTTTTGCCCGTTAGTCTAACCAATTGTTAGACACTCCACTTACAAGTGAAGGAGACGTCTTATGGAAACGTGGTGTTGTTGACAGTCTGCTAGTTCATCTGCTTCTTAGGGGGTTCATAATGCCCATCAGCGGTATAATCTGTTTTCCCGTGTGCGTTTACTCCTATGATGCTGTCTCTCCGTCTCTGCTCTTACTCTTTCCCGAATATTCTCCAGAACCCACCCTCATGGTAGGAGTTGTCTAAATACTTATTCTTAGTTTGTAGACCCCTCCAACAAGCTTGTTTCTTTTAAATATTTTACCTTTTAATCCTCACCCAACCAAGTCTCAGTGAAAATTATGCATTCGTTTTTTGTTTACCTTATTTCTTCGAGTCTCGGGTTTATCACGGGAGTATCAGATAGAGGTGTCATGGCGGTGTTGGTAGTTGCGGTTCGCCGGCCCTGAGCCCAACTGCCTGGGTTTGAATTCCAGCAGTGCCACTCACGAGTCCTGTGACCCAGGGCAAGTCACTCGTAGATTGTTACAGGAAAATTAAATGCACCCAATAAAGTTAACCATTATTATGATCTTAGCCCTGGTTTACGTAGCTATGATGATATTACCAACTCCTGAATCTTACACTTAATTGGTGCCTTTTAAAATCATTGAACAATTTCATTTTCAAAAAGAGGGACTGGTAAAGTTTGCAGGTATTTTAGAGATGCCACGTAATTTCATGTCCATCAGTGGCCCTTGCAAGAGAAATTTCAAGGCAGATAGCAAGTTGGAGTGAGATAAAGAGTAAGAGAACACTCCAGAAACTACTTTTTGGAATTAGAAGTTTAAATCAACTGTTGTATTCACAAGCTTAGATGTTTTTTTCTGTGTGTTTGTTTCTCTTGATTAACACAGAACAGTAATACGTACAAATATTTACTATTTCTCATTGAAGTTCTTATTGGTAAGCAAGTGAATCTACTCCTCAAAAGGCAGAGCAGTTACTTAAATCAAAGCCACAGATAAAAACTCACCTAATGTGGCAACTTACATGTGATGAGTGCTCAGTGTATTTTCTTCTTGTAAAAAGTGAATTTCTATTGAATATTGTGGGTTTTTTTCCCCCTCTTTCGAAAGTGTGTGGATTCTCGTGTCATATAACGTGTGTAAACAAAGCTCCAACTGTGTGTCCGGTCCCTCCTGAGCAGACAAAAGGTCCTCTGGGGATAGATCCACAGAAGGGAATAGGAACAGCATATGAAGGTCATGTCAGGGTAAGTATGATCAGGTTGGATTTAGATTAATCTCTTGAAGTTGATTAATGACTGGAAAACTAAGTCCAGTTGCCTGACAGACCTACCACTTGACAGAAAATTGGGCAAACAAAATTCATGTAATAATTGGGCAAACAAAATTCATGTAATAATTTTATTTCATCCAGTGTGATTTGAAAACAAAAACCTGGCCTTCACTTGGAAATAAATTCCAGAATGTCTTAGAATTTTCTGTACTGCTCCTGAGTTGTAACGAAAGCTCCATAAAGGAGTCTTCAACACTTGGTCTTGCTGGAGATCATAGCGTATGTTATGAAGGGTGAGCTGTTAGCAGGGTGTATTCTTACTCGTAATCTTGAACAATGTTTGTAAGTGTCAGCTGCATTTGATCTTACACCCAAATTTGACTTTTATGCTATTTAGAAATGCATGAATTATTTTTAAGATTGTATTTTTAAGTAACCTCTACACCCAGTGTGGGGTTGGAACTCACAACCCTGAGATCAAGAGTCACATGCTCTACTGACTGAGCCAGTGAGACGCCCCCCCCCAACATGAATGTTATTTTAATGAATTACAAGTGAAAGTTAAAATGGTACCATTAAAAATTTTTTCGGAATCAAAAGTCATTCAGTATTTGAGGAATGTTTTCTTACGTTTTTCTCGAGTTATTAATGGTATATGTGTTCATCTGCACTTCACCAACCAGAGTGGCAGACTTTGAACACACAGACATTATCTCTAGGCTTTCATCCTGCAGTTTTGTAGGTAATTAAAGGGCTATGATTGACGTTTTAGTTTGAAATGTTTTTGTCTGTCTGTCTGTCTGTCTAAGATCCCTAAGCCAGCAGGAGTGAAGAAAGGATGGCAAAGAGCATTGGCTGTGGTTTGTGACTTTAAGCTCTTCCTGTACGATGTTGCTGAAGGAAAAGCGTCCCAGCCCAGTGTTGTTGTCAGTCAGGTGATTGACATGAGGTGAGCTTTTGAAAGTGAAGATATTTGTATCTTTTGCAACAGAAGAATAAGAAAGTATCTGATTGTTCATCTAATTATATTGCCATATTTTTATCTAATTCTAATTTCATGTTAATATTCTAATTTACTGATATTGCTAGAGTAATATAATTAGAAATAGGAAGCAAAGTATAGTTATAGGACGGGTTGATGTATGTGTGTTGAGTGAGCTGGGGATAGGGCATCAGGGAAAAGAACCGAATGTTTGAATCCAAAAGCCCAGCGTAAAGATGGCTTGGGTAACGAAGGGCTAACACATAGTGTTTCGGTCACCGCCTGAAGGTGTGGAGCATGATTCCAACGTGAGGAAAGGGAGTAGAAATGTCAAAATCAGACAGGCTCTCAGACTGTGTAACGAGCTGGTAAACATTTGAATGAGTATACCTCTTGAATGTTTCCGGTCTCTTCTTCATGGTTTTCCCCTGCCCCGTGGAGTGCTCTCCTTTGCCTCTTCTTCAAGCTCCCGGGCTCCCCTCGAGTGACTTAGTACCCCCAAGGCACCTCCGCACTGATGACTCCCACAGGGGCCTCCGCCCAGCTGTTTCTCCAGTGTTCAGAACGGTTTCCGGCTCTGGCGCACACTGGCGTTTCATACGAGCACCTCAGCCACGCTGTCTTCCCTCCAGATAAGGAATATGAAGAGGTGGCCAGGAAAGTCCCACAGAGATTGCCAAGGGACTAGGTGCAGGAAGGATAAGGAGAAGAGTCAAAGACAAGACTAGGGCGCCAAGTCTTTAAGACCAAGAGGAGGATGATACCAGGAACCCAGTTAAGGAAATCACGAGGAATAGATAATTGTGGAGGAAGTCTGTCTCAGGCGTCGACAGAATAGCGAGATGTCGGATAAGCTGTGTTGTGGGCACTTGAGATGTATTGCGGGAGGCAAGAGGGTCCAGTGTTCTGGAGACTCTGGAGACCTTCCCGGGTTCAAGTCCTCCTTCCCCATGTACACGTTCTGGCCTGGCAACTGTTGCCAGCAGCCGTTCCTAGCTCTTGTATAATTACCCCTGTTAAGTTACTCCTGACAAGTTACTTCGGGCAGTATCCATTACAACGAGGGAAAAGCCAAATGGTTTTAAAAATTCAATTTGGACATTTTGTGCGAGTAGCTTTTGAGGATTGCTTCGTGTGTGTTCTATGGATATACCTACCGAACACCACACACATACACATATGCTGACTTTTAATGTTTTACTTTTCCTTCAGGGATGAGGAATTTTCTGTGAGTTCAGTCTTGGCCTCTGATGTAATTCATGCAAGTCGGAAAGATATACCCTGTATATTTAGAGTAAGTATGCGTGCTGTAATTTGATCACTGAATTACGTGTTCTTAGTGAATATATATCACGTCCCTCCGTATAGATCATAAGCCTAACTAGGAATAGGACCCAATTCCTTAATGTGTTTCATATCACCCAGTGCTTGAATGTATAGACAATTAGTGCTAAGTAAATATTTCATTAGTAAAAGACCTGAGGAAAGCCTGAATATTTGGCTTCTAAAATAGGTTTTACCTTGGGCGATATTTTTGAGCCACAATTCAATTTTCTTTTTTTTAAAAATTTTTTTTTTCAACGTTTATTTATTTTTGGGACAGAGAGAGACAGAGCATGAACGGGGGAGGGGCAGAGAGAGAGGGAGACACAGAATCGGAAACAGGCTCCAGGCTCTGAGCCATCAGCCCAGAGCCCGACGCGGGGCTCAAACTCACGGACCGCGAGATCGTGACCTGGCTGAAGTCGGACGCTTAACCAACTGCGCCACCCAGGCGCCCCTCAATTTTCAAATAAATACGCAACATAGAAAATCGAACAAGTGTGAGGTTTTTCAAGTTTTTGAAAAACAGACGTTTCTTTCAAAATCTCATTTTAAAAACTAATGTTTTATTTCTATTGCTTTGTAATTAACTACTCCAAAACTTAGTGGCTTAAGCCAGTAATGGTTTATTTTTTACCATTCTCTCCGTCAGCTATACGGTTTGAGTGGTGTCAGCTCAGATTACTCACATGAGCTCATCTGGGGCTGGAATATCCAAAATGACCTTGCCCCCATACCTGGGGCCTTGCTGCTGGCTGTTTGCTAGGTGATCTCTGAGAACTTTCTCCATGCGGTCGGTCTCTCATTCGGTCACTGGCTGAGCTCTACATGGCTGGCCTCCAAGAGGACAAAAGAAGCTTCCAGAACTTTTGAGGACCAGGCCTAAGAGAGGCATAATAACTCTTGTGCGTTTTGTTGGTCAGAGTACGTCATGAGGCCAGCCTGGATTCAAGGGGAGGGACAATAGACGGCACAGCTTGATGAGAAGAATGCAATTCTATAGGAAGAATTGTTGGGAACCATCTCTGGAGCCTGCCTGCCCTCCCACAGGGCCATCTTGAATTGGAGGATTAAGACAATAGGTTTAGGGGCACCTGGGTGGCTCAGTTGGTTAAGCGTCCAGCTCTTGGTTTCAGCTCAGGTCATGATCTGATGGTGAGATCGAGCTCCACGTCGGGCTCTGCACTTAACAGTGGGGAGCCTGCTTGGGATTCTGTCTCTCTCTCTCTCTCTCTGGCTCTCTCTCTCTCTCTGCTTCTCCCCAACTCATGCTCCCTCTCAAAATAAGTAAATAAACATTAAAAAAAAAAAAAAAAAAAGACTACTGCCCTAACGTTATGCCCACTACTCAGTGTTTGTCTATGAATATGGTATCTAAGGACGGTCACCAGGAGAGCCTAGGGAGGCCCAGTTGCCTGTAGCTGGTTCACACAGTTGGAGTTGGCTGTCACTGCTGCTTAAATCACATGTATGTGAAATTCAAATCTGCTCTGATTGTAAGTGCTATTTGTACAATGCTGAATCTTCATTTAAATACGAACACAAGTGATCTGATCTTCCCTAAGATTCTGTGTGTTATGAAGTGGCAAAGAATGTTAAGTTTATTTCTGAACATTTCTGACTTTTAAAAAGAAGTTGAGGGGCACCTGGGTGGCTCAGTCGGTTAAGCGGCCGACTTCGGCTCAGGTCATGATCTCGCGGTCCGTGAGTTCGAGCCCCACATCGGGCTCTGTGCTGACAGCTCAGAGCCTGGAGCCTGTTTCAGATTCTGTGTCTCTCTCTCTCTGACCCTCCCCCGTTCATGCTCTGTCTCTCTCTGTCTCAAAAATAAATAAACGTTAAAAATTTTTAAAAAAATAAAAAATAAAAAGAAGTTGAGAACCAGTATGGTGGGTAGTGTGCGTGAGCGTGGACACGGGACCCAGTCTGGCGGGGCGTCCGTGGGGACGGTACATCCCTGCATCACAGTTCCCTCAGATGTACCCTCAGGATCCAGTAGGGTACCTGCTTCAGTGCTCATGCAGGGCTTTGATCAGTGCTCACGCTTAACCCAGTAAATGTCAGGTGCTGTTGATCTAGGAATATGGGTGATGCATTTCTTAGTGGTGGCACTCAGCACGTCACAGCAAAGAAAATAAAAATAGTTATTAACGTTTAAAATGGTACCTGCTGTAACTAAGTAAATGATAGAGAGAGAGAGAGAGAGAGAGAGAGAGAGAGAGAAAGGTATCTGCTACCTTTGCTTTGTCATGAATCTTAATGCTAAGACTAGTTATTCTTCTGATTAGGAAAAGCTGAACTCTGGAAGGGATCATTTGGTGAGTGTTCACCTTGTTGGCCAGAGCTAAACAAAGTAGCATCGGCACGAAACCTGCTTGAAGTGTGTCTGTTTTCTAACACAGGCTGATTAAACTGTCCTAGGTCACAGCCTCCCAGCTCTCGGCGTCAGACAGCAGGTGTTCGGTCCTGATGCTCGCGGAGAGCGAGAGCGAGAGGAACAGGTGGGTGGGCGTGCTCAGCGAGCTGCACAAGATTTTGAAGAAAAACAAGTTCCGAGACCGCTCAGTCTACGTCCCCAAGGAGGCTTATGACAGCACTCTGCCGCTCATTAAAACCACCCAGGCGGCTGCGATCATAGGTATGGACTGGCGCCGTGGACTGTGTTAGCATAGCTGTTGACCAGCCTACCCTGGGAGCAGGGCTGGCTTGCATCCAGGGATCCCCCGCGTCCAGCATGGCAGGCGCCGTGCCCCACACATGCAGTGAATGTCTGCTGAGTGAGTACACGAGAAAGTACACGAGGAGAAGTGCTTTCCGAGTGCGTTTTCTTCTGGAAGAAACAGTGCTAAAGATGAACCTGTGAACGATCTGTTTTCTGCTGTGCGACTTAGAACCAACTATTTAACTGCTTAAAGCATAAGTTTCCTGGGTAGGATACAGCTTCTGATGACCTCGCAGAAGTTAGGAGGTTTCGGTAACGTGGGGCCCGTGACAGGATGCCCTGCATAGCAAACGCCCTCAAGAGAGAGCAGTTTCTGGGTCTGGAGGTTTAAATTTCTGTCATGGTATTGGTACACATCCAACTCTTTTGTTACTTCCTACTAAACAGTGAAAAGTTAATGAGTAGGGTCCAAATGCCTTCTGCAGTTTCTCCCTCCCAAAACAAGAAGTGGACCCAGGGCACTAGCAAACTAGATTTTTTCTCTTTTTTTCACCCTCTGTTGAATAAACGTTTACTTCTTTTTATAAGTATTGATACACTTTCTAATGATCTGTTAAAAAAGACATGAGGTAATATTTACTGCTATCATCTGAAAGGAAACTTAGCAGTACAAATTTTTATTCCTATTTTTAAGTTCCTTATTTGAGTGTTTTTGCACCAAATTTATTATCCATTTTGTCGTATTAGTTGTACACAGCTTTGCCTGTTAACAGTGTTTCGTACTCGTGTCTTCTGTAGACCATGAAAGGATCGCGCTGGGAAATGAAGAAGGGTTATTTGTCGTGCACATCACGAAAGATGGTAAGAGAAAACTTCATCATTGCGGAGTAACTTCCAACCCTATGTCGTTAGAAAAAGTCTAATTTCTAGGAAGAGCAGGATTTGGTCTGATTTATTCTATAATTGAAATTTTCCAGACCTAATTTGATGTGTTGATAAATCAAAAGATAATTTTTGAACTTCTTTAATCCTCCCGAGTTCTTAAACTTTCAAGTGTGTGTTGTGTTTCTTGTGTCACTGATTGAGCACCAGTGCTCCACAAACAGCCTGCACGTCTCAGGACGGGACGTGAACGATACAGCCGGACTTTCTCATTGCTCTGTTAGTGTTAGAAGTAGCCGTCATTCAAGTGTGTGTTCACTGTTGGGAGATTTTCTCCCGCATTTAATACAAAAGAGGTTTTTTTTTTCCAGGGCCAAATTAAATACCAAGGGAAATAAAAAGGAACCAATTTATCAGTGTCCTATCTTCATATCAAGTGCGATCGTGGGAAGACAACGCATTTAAACTGCGTTTGCCGCCCCTAGAATACGTTCAGTGAAATAAGTCTTCCCTCAGTTTCTAAAACAGGAGCGCCATGGTGAAGTTCCTGAGAATTTAGTGCCAGTAAAAAGGTTTTTCCTGGAGATGTGGCACGCTTTATCACACAGGGACCCTTTGCCTTACCTCACTGTGGGCGTGTGCCGTCACCTTGTAATGGGTATAATTATCTCCCTCTTTCTCCACATGATTCTGGTCTCTTACTCTTCTGTGTGTGTGTGTCCGTGTCTTCATTATAAGTTGACCTATCCTTTTGAGTGTAATTGGGATATAAGTAATCACTAAAACGTCATTCTGCATTTGATTTATTACTGTTCCTTTGCACAGAAATTATCAGAGTCGGTGACAATAAGAAGATCCATCAGATTGAACTCATTCCAAATGATCAGCTTGTTGCTGTGATCTCAGGACGAAATCGTCACGTGCGCCTTTTTCCCATGTCAGCTTTGGACGGACGAGAGACCGATTTTTACAAGCTGGCAGAGACGAAAGGGTGTCAGACCATAACTTCTGGCAAGGTGTGCCATGGAGCTCTCACGTGCCTGTGCGTGGCTATGAAAAGGCAGGTCCTCTGTTACGAACTATTTCAGAGCAAGACCCGTCACCGAAAATTTAAGGAAATCCAAGTCCCGTGTAACGTGCAGTGGATGGCCGTCTTCAGCGAACAGCTGTGCGTGGGATTCCAGTCGGGATTCCTGAGATACCCCTTGAATGGAGAAGGGGGTCCGTACAGCATGCTCCACTCAAACGACCACACGCTGTCCTTTATCACACATCAGCCGATGGACGCCATCTGTGCAGTTGAGATCTCCAGTAAGGAGTACCTGCTGTGTTTTAACAGCATCGGGATATACACAGACTGCCAGGGCCGGAGATCCAGACAGCAGGAGCTCATGTGGCCAGCAAATCCCTCCTCTTGCTGTAAGAGTCTCTTACTTTTGGCTGTTTGCCCTCTGCGTCTCTTTCCTTTTCCTTCAGCCTCGTTTCCTAAATATATTCACTCTTAATACCGGCTTGTTTTTCTAAGTCCTCCTTAAGGTTTTGCCCAAGTACTAATTGTGTCGTTTGTGCAAAGTGACTCTCCGTAGTTAGTTAGACCTAGGCCAGCAGGGCTGACCTTAACTTGTCGGGAGTTGAAGCTGATCTTTCTGTGGAATATTTTACTTAGCTGGCTTTTTAACCCATGTGGTCTCTTGAAGTACCTCTAAGGAGTTATCTTCACGGTCCCCCCAAATACAGTGCTTGTGAGCATTAACAGCTCCTAAGACTTATTCTGGAGAAGCAGTTACTAAGTGAATTATTTAAGCGCTGATGTAAAGGCATAATGCAGCATCTGTAAGAAGTGTTTCTCCATTTTATAGTTTTGTCTAAATACACGGATATTTAAGATTGCCTGGTGCACTCTTTCAAGAACTCTGAGGACATCAGTGAATTAGTGAATGCCGTCACGTGCCATTTCAGCGGCCAACGGCAGTGCCCACATGGAGCACAGAGTGGGGTAGGCAGGACCCCTGTGGCCGAGACACGGCAGCGGGTTGTGGTCGCCCTGTGGTGGATGCGTGGAGTTCCCCAGCCGCACGCACAGGGGTACCTGACCCCCGATGCTTTGTCCTCAGTGGACGACACTTGAACATGTATGAATGCTGAACCAGGGAACCGGGGAAAGCTCGAGCGTGCGGCGAATCCAGGAAATAGAGCAAGATCCTCACGGAGGCCAGACAGGGTGGATCTCAGAACACGGGGTGGGGGGAGCACTGGGGACAGGAGGCATGAAGCCTCTTCCGCTGGCCCCCGTGAGGAGGGATGGTGGACGGAGACCGTCAAGCCTAGAGGTTCAGTGGGAGAAGAGTTAGGAGGCTGGTGTGCTTGTTATAGAAGAGTGAGAGAATCTAGGAAAAAAAAAAGAAAAAAATCCTTCTAATCCTACCCACCCAGCCCTACCTATTCTTAAAGTCTTGTTTCTTCTACACTATGTACTTGTACCTGTGGTGTCGTATGCAGAATAAAGGCTGTCTCGTAACCTAGTCGGGTAACGAGGCAAAGTATTACTTCCGTGCGGAGTCAGAGTGAGAGTATCCGGGTCGTGTGGGTAGCGTGGGCGGTAATTCGATCCGTGACCCCGTCTTAGGTAGATCATCTTATCCCTCTGCTCGTGTCACTGTCGATGCTGTTTCGCTGTCAGTAGCTCAACTGGTTTAGGAATCAGGTACTTAAAACGTGACGTGAAGACGTCCCTTTATAGAACTAGCATTGGACAACGGAGCGTTTCGCCCTCGGCATAAGCCGACTGAATCCTCATGTCCTGTAGCTGCCGTCTCATCCGACCCGTAGCGTCTCCACTGCTCGTTTATGATTTATATCCTGTTCCCAAATGATTGGATGCGGCTACTGCATGACCACAGTAGGATTTGGGTGGGATTCCGTTCCACAGTTATGTAGCATAGACCTTTCAGAATGTTTTGTGTTGAAGAGTTAGATAGAGAAGTGCGGGGCGCCTGGGTGGCTCGGTCGGTGAAGCGTCCCGCTCTTAGTGTCAGTTCAGATCGTGATCTCAGAGTCGTGAGATCGAGCCCCTCATGGGAGTCTTCCCTGAGCACAGAGCCTGCTGAAGATTCTCTCCCTCTCTCGCTGCCCTCCCAGGATTGCATGCACGTGCATTCGTGCTCTCTCTCTCTCTCTCTCTCTCTTTAGAGAGAGAGAGAGAGAGAGCGAGAGCAAGAGAGAAGTAATTAGCCACTGTCCCTCCTTCCCTTCTCGCAGGCTACAATGCACCGTATCTCTCCGTGTACAGTGAAAACGCAGTTGACATCTTCGATGTGAACTCCATGGAATGGATTCAGACTCTCCCACTCAAAAAGGTAATTTAACGCCAAAAATGGGCTAGCAAACTAATGAGTGGAGTGAACCACTGATGGGACCAGTTAGCTCCTTTTCGCTAATCGAGCGTTTTCTGGCAGTTGGTAATTTGGGATTCTGCTAAGAGAAAAAAAGTAGAAGCAGAAGTCAAGCTGGTTAATTTTATGAGTAGCTCAACACCATAGTATTTTTATCACATTCAGTGTCGCCGTGTTTCGCTGCGTCATCGTGAGAGCATCGTGGTAACGAGAGACTGGAGCGTACCCTCCACCTCACACGTGGGTCCGTCCCCTGCTTCAGGAGCTGGGTGGGGGGGAGGGGACCTGTCATTCTTCCTTGTGGCTGTCGTTCACATTGTGGCGTGCAGGTGGTAATCCTGTGAGACAGACCCCACAGGCTGGAAAAGTGACTAAACTGAGAGCCCAAATGTGTGCAAACATCTCATCGTTAAAAAAATAAAGGTGTTTATGCTCCTCATAAAACATGATTTTCCCTGTGACAACAGAGAATTTTTACAAGCATGCAACAACTGTTCTGTGTGGGTGAGGAGTAAGTTTCACATAGACGTTGTGTTGTCCGCTGGGGGCAGGGTTTATGGGGGGGGGGACGAGAAAGTAGCCAAGGTCAGATTTCAAGGTCTGCCCCAATGCCTAAGGACATCAGCCGTGAAAACTCTTGGAAATACTCCCACTTCAGGGAAAGCACCCAAAATATGGCCCTCTGGTTTGCATTTGGGGGCTAATTACATTTATTTTCCATTTTATCATGTAAATCGTATAGTATATATGAAAGAATAGGAGCTTTGGGAAGCATGATAATTATTAACAGCTCACTCAGGGCCAGAATATTACCAACATCCCTGCCTCTACCTGCGTACCCGTCCCTTATCCCGCCCCCCAGCCCCTCTCCAGAGGAAATCACCATCCTGAATGTTGCCTGTATCATCCCTTTGCTTTTCTTAAAATACAGATTTTTTTTTTTTTGGCATATTTAAATATTCCTAAACACTTGTTTGGTTTTGTATTGTTCAGTTCTGTCTGCCTTTGAGCTTTGTAAAAATGTTACACTGTGTGTTCTCTGCCTTCCTTCCTTCGTGCATATTCCAGGGTCCGTCTGTGTGATTACGTGAGCTGTAAATAGTGCATCGTTTTTCACCGCTATAAAATATTCTTTTGAGTGACTAGATCAGTTCATTCCTCCATCGTCTGATTGGCAGACACATGAATTATTTTCCACGTTTTGCTACTGTGAACACTGATGCCTGTGTTTCTCTAAGTCACGTGTCCAGGAGTGGGATTGATGGGGCACGGGGAACACAGGGGTTCAGCTTTACAAGACAGTGTCAGATTCTTTTCCAGAGTAATTGTACCAGCTCATCCTCCCCCCAGCAGTAACCGGAGTGCCTCCTCACCCACATCTTCCCTGACCTTGCCATTCTCAGGATTCGTAGTTTTATAACCTTTATAAATGGTTACAACATGCTGTCTCACTGAAGCATTAATCTGCACATCCCCAATTAACTGTGTTGTTGAGAATCTTTTGTATGTTTATTCGTTCTTAAATTCTGTGAAATACCTACTCATGCTTTTTGCTCATTTTTCTGTTTGTTCTTCCTTATTAATTTATTGAAATTTTTTATATATTGTAAATACTGGGAAAGGGATGGGGTAAATCTTTTCTATTTGTGACCTAGTTTTATGGTGTATTTTGCCAAGCATATATTTTGATAAAATAATGATAAATTGTATTATTTTGCTAAAAACTTACTGTTCTAAATTTTAATGTCATCATGTTTTTTCTGTTAAGAAACTCTTTCCTAACTCAAGGTCATAAAGATACGATCTGTATTTTATTCCAAACGTTTGAAAGGTGTGCCTATTACATTAATGTCATGAACCTGTGGAGTTGGGGTATGTGTGGTGTGAGGTGGGGACTCCGTTGCTCTGTGCCACATACGTGAGCAGGTGCTCTGTCACCACTTAGTGACAGCCCCCCCCTCAGTGACAGCCCCCCCCCCCCAGTGATACAGTTTCATCCCCATCATATGTGGACATTTAGTTCCACTTCAGGTTCATAAAGTAGCTGTGTTAATATCTTCTTAGTATAAATAGTCACTAATGGCTTTAAAAAGTCAAATTTAAGATTTAAATGTATTTAGGGGCGCCTGGGTGGCTCAATCGGTTGAGCGTCCGACTGCAGCTCAGGTCATGATCTTCTGGTTTGTGAGTTCGAGCCCCGCTTGGGGCTCTGTGCTGGCAGCTCAGAGCCTGGAGCCTGCTTCGGGTTCTGTGTGTGTGTGTGCGTGTGTGTGTGTGTGTGTGTGTGTGTGTGTGTGTGTCTCTCTCTCTCAAAAATAAACATTAAAAATTTTTTAAAAAGATTTAAATGCATTTCTACTTTTTCCCCCAGAATATTCTTTCTTTAGAATGTTGTCATAACTTTTTGTTAAAATTACATCATTTTATATGCCTTCCCCGTCAGAATTGTTGATTTTCTGAGAGCGTTATATTCTGAAGGGGAAGGATAAATGGAAGGTCTTAATAGGGTGTGCTTTACAAATAGGCCTAAAGTTTTATGGTTCCACTTGAGGGTTTTACTGAAATGCTAATTTTATTTTATTTTTTTATTCTTACCTTAGGTTCGACCCTTAAACAGTGAAGGATCATTAAACCTTTTAGGGTTGGAGACAATTAGATTAATATATTTCAAAAATAAGATGGCAGGTAAGAAAATATAATGTTAATACGATAGCTTCAAAGGAAATACTCTCTCTGAGCTGACTGCCTGGAGATAATAAGTGGCAGAGGCCACATTTAAACCCAGGTTCCTCTTACTCCGAAGTCTGTGACCTTGGCTACTATCATGGTCTCAATATATTCAGTTAAATGTCTGGATAGAAAGTCGTTCTGTCTAATCTAGCTATGTACACAAAATACTTGTTGCTGACGTACCTGATTTCTCTGGGGAGCCCTGAATTAAGTGCAGAAAGTATGGCTGAAAGCAGTATTTGCTGTACTAGTAATGCTATAAAACCTAACCCAAGTCTATGGCACTGAAACTGTGAAAACTCATGCAGAACTCTGACTGGGGACTTCAGGAGTACATCATCTGCCAGGGCACCCGGGGCCTAGAACTTGGCGAGTGCCCGTGGCCGCACGGCCAGGGCCGCCAGAGTCCAGAGGGGGCACGGGAGCCAGAGGGCGCGGGCGGTGTCCACAGTCACGTGGAGGTCGCTCGGCCCTGGAGGGCCCTTGGCTGACAGACTGGTGGTTATAGCAGAGGTCCTGCCTGGGGACATTCCACCGCGACGGGAGAAAGGAGATTCGGATTTTAGAAATGATTGCCACTCAGCGATGGCTTCGCCACAAAGCGTCTGCACTTGAGCTGTAAGCGTCTCCACCTCCAGGGCCTGTACTTCATTGGTGTCTGTTTCTTAGAGGAAGTCATGATATTCACGTAGGATCGGCTGCACCTGTTCTCACCGTGTGTGGCCGTGATGATCACGGAACGTGTCCGTTTCCCAGTCCACATCTGTAGGATAAAGCCTCTTTCCACTCGTGTTTCCGCATCTTTCCACTCCTCCTCCTGCCCTAGGCTGGACGCGGGGCGGGCTTGGAGAGGGAAAGCCTGGCGGGATTTCAGTACAGGTGTCTTGTCCTCGGGAAGGGGAGGGAGGGGCCCTCGCCTTTTCTCCGGCTGCCTCTGGCCTTCCTCTCTCAGGGCTCAGTGTTGCTGCAGTCTTCCTTCCGGCTGTCCCACGTCCCCCGCTGCCACCGGGACCCAGACCCACCCCGGCCGCACGATTCTCCCGTTCCAAAATCGTGTTTCACACGTAGTTAGGAAAGCAAGCTGATGAAGCTGCGTTATCAGGATATGAGAAGAATACTGCTTTTCCGCTAATCCCCGGCCTTGGCTTGCCTTTCGCTCGCTTCGGCTTTGTGGGTGTTAAAAATTCTCCAGGTTGGCTTTTCTCCTGTTCCTTAGAGAATGGCGTCCCTCGTGTTGTGTGAACACCGCTGTCTCTTTTATTCCTAGAGCGTGTTCACAAATTTCAGCATGTCCGGGGAGCCCTTGGCGGACGGTTGTTTACTTCTAGGTTATGAACGCTGAAACCGGATGCCAGGTGCATATGATTAAGTATCCTCGCCCCACCAAGATCAGAGGAGTAGAAACAGCAACAGGGTCTTGCCTTTAATAAAGGAAGCTGGTGGGAGCCCAGGTTTTTGTCCTTACCCACATCCAGCAGACTGGATCTTACAAAAGGAAATGTTTTATTATGTAAAAAGAATTTTAACGATCATTTACGTGAATACTTTACCATTTATGCCTGATGATTGTGTAGCATAATGGGAGGAGTTTTTTTAACACCCTAAGCCATTGGAACCAGTACCTGGAAGGCTAGAGAAGACAGGATAGAGAGATGGGGGGGTGGGGAGGGCACAAGGCGACAGGACCCCCAGGCAACTGCATTTTACTTTTCTTCTGCTAGAATTGTGCCACTGTATGTTTGTAATCAGATAGGAAGTGAAAATATACTTTGTAAGCTAGGTTTCATCTCAGCGTATCCCTGTGTACATGTGTCCCGTTTGAATTATTACTTACCGTGAGTATCAACACACACCTTTTAAAAATGCAAATTGCGTACGTTGGACAACTGATTCCTGTTTGTGCTGTCTTGGAGATTAATGGATAAAAAGCATTTTAGCGCTTCAAAGAACGCCACCGGTCTTTGTCTTCTTTTAACAGAAGGGGATGAGCTGGTGGTTCCCGAAACATCAGATAACAGTCGGAAGCAGATGGTTAGAAATATTAACAATAAGCGACGCTACTCCTTCCGGGTCCCAGAGGACGAGAGGTTGCAGCAGAGGAGGTAGGGGGGCGAGTGGGGTCGTGCCCGTCGTCGGGGCCGCGGGGAGCCTCTGCGGGGCTGGTGGGTGACGGAACGTTAGTGATTTGCAAGGAAGATGGGGTCTCTGAAAATCTGTCATCCCTCTGTGGTGTCACACACCACAGTGACGAGCCTGCTTGTCAGTGTGATTTTGATTAACACTCTCCAAAATGTACGCTCTGGATTGAAGCACCACGTTTGCGCTCGTTTCTCCGTGTGCGTGAAATTCTTGCGGTTTTTAGCGGTTTTTAGAATGCGAGCCTTTGCTCAACGTAAAACAGATCCTAGCTGCATGTAGCACACGGGCACGGGCCTGAGAACTTCAGATTAACCATTCTCTTCGAGAGTAAACAGCCAGTGGGCTGGTAATATTTCCAGTTACGGGTAAAAACATCTCTAAAGTGTTATCAGTGATTTTAAAAGGCCTGCAGAAAATGGCCAGGACTGTCTGTAAAATAGAGCTTTGGCATTTGAGTACTGAGAGAACCCTCTCTGTTTTCCCACCAAAAAGCGTAAGATCTTGTGTTTAAAAGAAAAGCTTCTAAGTTTCAATTGAGTATATCTTATTGTTAATTCTGTCCTGGCTAAACTTGATTTCACAGTTTTATTTTTGTGAACAAATAAAGGATGCCTCATTGTTTTCTAAAGTTAACGAGATCGAGCCCAGAAAAAGTGTCTAAACGGGTGTTTTATCTTACAGAGAGATGCTGCGAGATCCAGAAATGAGAAATAAATTAATTTCTAACCCAACTAATTTTAACCACATAGCACACATGGGCCCAGGAGATGGGATACAGATCCTAAAAGACCTGCCCATGGTAAGAGAAATGGAGGGCAGACGGGAGCGGGGTTACGAGTGGGGCAGAGGGGGAGAAGACACGGACGCGTGCGTGCCCACATACGTACGTAGGCTTAACGGGATACGCAAACGTGACGATGAGAGGCTGTGTCCCCGTAGCGCTATGTGCATACAACGCGCGGGAGAAAAACACAGCGTCTGGGCATCTGTGAAGAACCAGACAGATCCGGTTCTTAGCTGCACACCCCGTAAACTTGCCCCGCATCCAGTTGCTGATGGAGCACACTGCCGGGTCGGGAGAGGATCTGCACCGGGATCCAGAGCTCGCTCACCAAATGCTGACGTTTCACTCAGCTTCGGCAGTTCCATACAGATATTCGGCCTTTCCCACCTGCACAGAACCACGTCAGCCCGGTCGTTAACGGTCACACCTGTTGCCTGGTTGGGCAACCAAATCTCTTTCCTTTCCCCGATTACACACGTGTTGCCTGGCCCGTCTTCCATACAAAAGTACGACATAGGCAGACTGGTTTGTCACGTGAAGATTGGATTCTTGGGCCTATTATGTTGAAATTAAGGATACTAGTGGAATTAGGAATTTTCCAGGCTCTGTGCATACTTAGCATTTTGGTATCACGGTACCTGAGCAAACTATTAAAACTTCCTACGCGTACGGCCCTTCTGATCACTGGTGGTGGCGTTCAGACTGTGAATCTGGACCCAGGCTCTCTCTGAGGGAGTCTGTCCTCTCGCCACGTTGCCAGCTCTGCTGTGACAGGAGACACGAATATCTTATCACCGACAGGAAAAAAATGCTAGGTGATCTAGTTTAATGTGCCATCAAGCATTCCTTAAGGTGAAGGAGTTTCAGGGGTTCACAAAGTTCCCAAAATATTCCTCTGCTTTGTAGCCTTCCTCCATCAGGTGAAAAGCCAGTTTGCTGATGTTCTAGAAGTTTTTCAGGCCTTCCTACACAGGAGGACTTGGCCATCACACCCCCCGAATAAGCACACGGAATCGAAATAGCAGATTTCAGACACTCTAAGAACTCTCTGTCAGCACATCGTCTCCCATTACCCCCTCAGCACTTCAAGTAAAAGAAATCTCTCTTCATTTTTTTGTTCGAAATAGGGGCTGGTGGTAATGACTGCGCAAAACCAGTTCCGATAGCATTTCCGGGAGATTCTTCCCCGCACCTGACTCCGTGACTCGTGGCCTTCTGTGCTGGTCACGTATTCCCATCAGACCTCTTCATTTTAGCGTTTGTCGTCACTGATTGTGTTAACCCGTGACTGCCTTGTGGGCTCTTTTTGTCACGGCCACAGGTGCCTCTTTGTCCTACAGTGCGGTCCAGTTTTTAATGTGTGTTCCGTTCCTTTCTTGCCATGTAAGCACCTTGTGTTTCCAGGACGAAAACTTGGTGCAAATTTTTGAAACCTGTGTCTTAGCCTTATTTTATTTCCACCTGACTTTCTTTTACTAGCCAGGGACATACAAGCTGGGGCTGTTGTAAACGTCCATTTCATCACCCAGCCAGTAGTTTTAATACACTGTCCCCCAGACCTGGGTTTGTCTTGGGGTAGACACTGGGAAAGAACGCAGTAGTGTGCAGGTCTGAAAAAAATTAACGATGATACATGTACCCGTGTATACACATAAATGTTTGTTGAAAAGCTTGTGATATTTTAATATGTTCTCAGGTTTTATGTCCTTTCCACTGAGATGGAATTATCTGTATTTAATGAACAATTTCCAAAACTTAAGATGAATTAAATTCATCAACCGTTACCGTGTAAGAACTTCGGGCACCAAAGCCACCTGCCATCCGAGCCAAGAGCAGCGTGCACCCTGGACATTTTTCTGTTTTCACTTCTCATATCAGTACTGCTTTCCTGGGAAATACTTACGAGCTTAGAGAGTTTATTGGAGATCTTTAGAAACTTAGTTCTGTTTCCTTTGTACCAAAATTGATACTGATATAGGGTTATTTGCCTCCTGAATGTGGAAGAGAGTGTCAGGAGGAGGGAGTCTTTTCTCTCCCTGAATCGGGGATGTGAAGCCCTTTACGCACATCTAGCGCGCCGAGAGGAGAAGTAGCACAGATGACTTAGAAATACGGACTGCTCCTTGTCATTTCCTTCCGTCATCGTGGGGTGCCGCCAGTAAAGGGCAGGGATTTCTCCCGGTGAACACAAGAATAATATTCTACCTCCAGAAGATTTATTTTTGGCACATGACCTTTCTTCTGGTTCAGTGACCCCCGAGAGCTCTATTGAGTAGTTATTACATTTACATCAATAGGGTTTTTTTTTTTTTTTCCTTTTTGGAAATAACTTTAGAAAGTGCTGGTTCACTCACATCTCTAAATTTAAAACAATGTCTCATAGAGGAGCTCTTTTTTAAGTCTCCATAATCTGTCAGATTTTGTTTAGCAAAGCAAGTTCATCCCGGTTCGGGGGCCTTCTCCCCGCAGTGGTCCATCCGCCCACCGGCCCCTGGACCACATGGCCTCAGAGAAAGTGGCCGGGTGCTGAGTGACTGGTCCCACATCACTCAGAAGCCATTCAACCGGATATGCTAGCGCCTTCGGTTAGAAAAGCTTTTTCTCTATCTTTGCTATTACAGTATTTTATGTTTTTATTAATGCGCCCACCCAGACATGGACGGGATTTTTCCCTCGTTAAAAACGAACCTGGCTTTTTGGGTGTCTGAGTGGAGCCAGGTTTGGGCTTCTGGGAGTCACCACCGCTAATGAGGGTCACCGAAACAAGACCGGGGAAAGCAAACACACGTGCGAGTCTGTAAATTCCAGGGAACGGTGTTAGGTTTCTGAAGAAAACGGGCTAGCGGTTCCGATGAGAGGCTGCCTGTGGGTTCGCTCACCTTGAACCGTCTCTCACTCTTTCTGTCCTTACTGATGGTGTGTGTTTGCCAGATTTTGATTCTATCACATAAGAAAACACGGAACTGAACTCTGAAAGTCCGGTTTCGGTGCACTTGCTGCCGGTAATAAAGGAGAAGAATTGTACAAGGTGAACGTTCCAGGAACTGGCAGGAGGGTTACAAAATGTAACTTTCTAAGGCCTGAGAGTATTTCCTTAAGGACTCAGTTCTGATGGGAGCGATGTCGATGTCGTGCCTTGCGCATGCGTGCTGTCTGAAATGTCACGTGGAACCAGTGAATCCATTTTCATTACCGTGTTACTTTTTTTCTTCTTCCTGTTGTTTTGATAGCCAGGCCTCCCTTATCCGCCCTCGCTTCACTCCGGCCTCATCTCCTCTCCGATCAACTTTGAGCACATCTATCACATGACTGTTAATTCCGCTGAAAAATTTCTCTCTCCTGATTCCATAAACCCTGAGTATTCCCCGTCTCTACGCTCTGCCCCCGGTACACCCAGCTTTATGACTCTGAGGGTATGGACGGCCGAGTCAGGTGTTAACTACCACTAACCGTGTGCGGACCTCCTGTTCCCAGCTTGATAAGTAACCCGCGGAGGGCGCTTCCCTTTGTGAATGTTCTTCCTGCTTCTCTCCTGCCAGACCTCTCCCCCTCCCCTCCTCTTCCTCCTCCTCCTCCTCCTCCAGTTCTAGTTTGTTTCTTCTTTTGAGGAGAAGCATGAAGCCTGGGGAGGATTTCACTTTTATTCTTTAAACAGTATTGGAGGGGTTTTCTGGGGTTTGTGTTTAATAGATGTTCCCATCATGATGTCCCTTTACAGATGCCATCATTAGAAATAGTCCCCGTGTGGGTCTTTATTCTGTTAAACTAAACAAGGAGTCCCACAACTTCTGAGTTTTTTTTATAGCACATTACCCTAAATCTGGTTCAATTCAGAGAAAATTCTTTCGATTTAGTGAGGTTAATTAAGGTCTGTGGTAGGACCAAGCCACAGGCCTCCTATCTACAATAAACCCCGTTTTGAAAAAGCTTAAAAATGTCCCAAGTAAAAATTCTAATAGTATGAACGAGTAACGGGAAAAATCCCAAAAAGAAGGTGATCTTACTAGGCTTTCAGATGCTGATACACCTTTCATTCCAACCAGGATCCAAGATACGACAGCTAAATCAAAGAAAAAAACACAAAGTGTGCAGCATCTATCTGGAAGGAGTGCGGCCCCTGCTGGCGGCCCCTTGGATCCGGCCCCCTGGACGCCGCCTGGCATCTCTGTAGCCGGTGGCCGTTAGCACAGCTTTTCCATACCTTCCATCAAGAAATACACGCTTAAAAAAAAAAGAAAGAAAGAAATACACGCTTGTGCTAACTTCACAGTAACGTTTTCTCAAGTTAATTTTACAAATACGACATTCGGGTTGTGTCATGCAAACCCTTGTCCCACAGTGCCCTCTGACTCAGAGAAACAGTCACATCCATTTTTTATTTGCATAGAAGACCGTAGGGTGAGAAGTTTCTTTTTGTACTTTTGTTTGCATTGTACAGTTACTCTGAATTATAATGTTTGAAATGTCACGGTCATTAAGCTATAATGTCATGTACATATCTTATTTGACAAACTAGAAGATGAACTGTGATTAAAAAACATCAGCCTTAGGTTGCTTGTCAGCAGTCCGCAGGGAGTGGATTCCAGAAGAATGTTGCACAAACTGACCGGCCAAGAATTTTTCGTACGAAAGATGACAGAAACGTTGTTTAGGTCAGTCCTCCGCAAGTAGAAACACTGTTGTCGGTGAAAGTCTTCCCTAATCCAAAGAGTATTTGCACATGAAAAAAGACCAGTAGCTTAGGTCTCTGTCCTAGAATGAAAGTGAACTTGAAATGACTGAACCATAAACTTTTTTTGTGGGATTGTATTTTTTTTCTCACAAAACATGTCTTCCGTGTGTCAGTCTTTTGTGACTTCAACATTCGGTGTGACTGCACAACTGGTATGTTTTTCCAGGTTTGATTTTTGCCACTTATTCCAGGCTAGGCCTGCTCCGTAGGAAAGGACGGCCCCAAGGTATCTTGAGGTTTCTAGCAGAAGCAGTAAACACGTAAAGGTTGAAACTGATTCTCCCACCTCTCGGTCCTTCCTTTGCTACCTCGTGTGCACGTCACTGGCGTCTAGAGGTTTGCTTCTGTGTGTGCGAATGTTAAAACGCTGGCCCTGCTTCCGCTGGGTTTTATTTTCTTAGAGAAAAAAAGGTAAAGCGTTTGCTTCGAACAGATAACACACTAAGAATTAAATGGACTTTGCAGATTGGGTACGCGAACCAAAATGGCGGCGGTTGAGTCTGGGGCCAGCCAGCCAACCGACTTCCAGTGTGTGTGGCTCCGTGACTCGAAGCTCCTCACGCCACATCAGCATGTTGCCCGATTGCTGAGACTTGCACCCGGCGTTAGTGGTTTTGACGTTAACCTTTCCTCAGGTGTCAGCCCCGACACCTCTCCAGTTCTCAAACGTCCGGGTCCCTTGAGGCGGCCAAGGGCTCTCGGTGCTCGGCCGAGTTCAGATGGCCCGCCCCTCACGCCTCCTCTCTGGCCGCGTATGACTTTTCAGAGCACCCGTTGGCCCACTTTAATACTTGGGACACCAAAATCATTCCATAAGTTGATGGAGAATCTTGTAAACCGGTGTCCCCGAGTCAGAGCACTTCGCCCCGGCTGCAGTGGTTTCAGGCGTGCTGTCCATGACTCCTGGCCCCGCTCTGTCAGCACGCCAGGGTGTGGGGATGTGCACGTGCCCGTCCCCTACCACGCGGGAAAGCACTCACTTGACAAAAATCTACCCTTGAGTGACCTGGCTCCACGTGGGCTCGCTCCATTCAGCTAGTGCAGTCCCGCCAATCAAAGTCGCCGACGTAGCAAAACCTCCGTTGCGGGCGTCTGCAAATGTCCATATAATTCTGCACCGCACTGTCACTTCTAACCATGTAACTTCTACTTACTGTTCTCACAACAAAAAGAATTCTTATTTGCCGATAACCGTTTCCATAAGTACAAGGACGAGCACTTACCCTCGATTGGGGGGAGGTCGGCTTCCATTAGGGGTTAGTACTTCTGTGGGCAGGAGGGATCATAGAATCGGGTCCTTGTTCTGTGTCACCCCAGGTCAAGATCATTTATTTGTTACAGTTAGAGTGAAAATTAGACGTCTCCGCAGAAAATCACTTTCTCTCCAGCTGAAGAATTTTTCTTTCTGTTTTGTTTTCAGAACCCTCGGCCTCAGGAGAGTCGGACCGTGTTCAGTGGCTCGGTCAGTATTCCGTCTATCACCAAATCCCGCCCTGAACCCGGTCGCTCCATGAGCGCCAGCAGCGGCCTGTCAGCAAGTAAGTGCTGCCCGGGAAGCCCCGGGCCCCCCCTCCCCCCCCCCGCTCTTCCCTCTCCCACGGTGCACGCACCCCTGCCTCAGGCCTGCTGGGTGGGTCTCGTTAGCACAGGGGCACCTGTTAGGAGAACGATCATGGGGTCCTTTGTGAGCCCACAGTGCATCCGGGAGACAGGCAGACACATAATAGTACCAGTTGTGGTGACAGGTGCTCCGAAGGAAGTGAACAGGACCCCCCTCAGAGAGTGACGAGGGGGAGCCCAAGGTCACGGGCCTTCCCTAGGGGTGGGGCCGCATCTGAGTCCTGTTTGACTGAGAGAAGGCCAGGGTGGCCACCTGTTGGCGGTCGGGGAGTGACCCAAAAACTAAAGCACAGGAGGTAGGCAAGGTCAGATCAGGGACTTGCGGAGCAAGCTAGGACGTTGTTGTCTTATTAGAAACCAAGGACCTTTACCTAGTTTACATTCTTAAGAAGATCCGTCCACCTGCCAGAGGGAGCAGGCAGGGCCACAGGCAGGGGTGCAGGCATGATCCTGGGGGGCTCTCGGCGCTGCCTGGGGCTCACAGGGGAGAGGAGGAGACCGTTCGGGGACTTAGTTGTGGGAGGTGAGGGGGGAGAGCCACAGGGGTGCCCGGATTCCAGAGGGGCTGGCAGCACATTAGAAAGGAGACCTGGGTCTGTCTCAAAGAGCAGCGTCACAGAAGCAGGCCGACGCTCGTCATGCATCCGGCGAACGGCGCGGGGGCACCGTCCTCTGTGACTTGCTTCCAGGTGGCACTGTCTTCATCGTCAGCCTCTCGCTGCCCTGAGCTGCCATGTGTCCTTCCCGGCGCTTCCGCAGGAACCCAGGGTTCGGTGGGAGTCGGGGCGGCATGTCAGGTGTAGGGGTGCTGAGCGCCGCCTCCTTGGAAACGTGCACGGTGCACAGAGGCGCCGTGTGACCGCCTGTGACCATGACATGTCCCACCGAATTCTCGGGGACCTTCGGTAGTTCCTGGGTCACAAGTGGTCTGCTTGTCTGTCGCTTTCTCAGAAGTAGCACGGGTGGCTGGCGTGGTGGAGGGTGGAGGGGAGGCGGATCGCACTGGGTTCGGCTTCACTTGGGACACGTGTCTGTGGCCTCACGTGCTGGAACGGTAGCTACATGGGTGGAAGTCGCCGCGGCGGGCGGAAGGTCCCCTCGTTCTCCAGCTCCCGCCGTGGGTGGCTGCGGCCTTGGGGCCCTGACCGTGCGAGGATTGAAGCAAGGATCGTGGGTTTTCTCCTTTCCGAGGGCCCGGTGCGGGGCCCCTGGGCAGCAGTGGCCCCCTGAGTGGCCGGAGGCCCATGTCCCTCACCACGCGGGCCTGTGTCCTCACCCAGAGCAGGTGGCCACAGAGGCAGACGGAGGCGTCAGCCTTTCTATAACCTCCTCTCCGAGGGGACTCACCGGCCCTGGTCCCCGTGCAGCACTCAGACCCAGCTGGGGGGGGGGGGGACCCTCGGGTGGGGCTTTCCCCCCTTTGTCCCTGTGGCCTGAGACACTCACGGGCCCATGTGTGGCCCTGACCACAGTGAAAACTCCGGCCAGGTGGAAGGGTGACGACCACGTTACTGTCTTGTTACCAATGGAGGTGAGGCAGTGAATTTCCCTGATAACCAGCTGTGAATTACCAAGATTTGACATGCAAACGGCGTCACAACGTTGGTATTTTAGTCCGTGATCCTTCTCCAGACCCTGGGAACCAGAAGTTGTTTCTGCTTTCAGAATCCAGATTCTTTTCAGCACGTTTACATTTTAGAAAGGAATCGATGGTACAGCGTGTTACATTCCCAGCAAGATCGGGGCGGCACCCACAAATAGATCAGCATTTATACCGCCAGATTCGTGGCTGGTCACACCGGAAATACGTGGATAAACGTAGTCGTGTAAAATGAGCTCTGTCGTCAGCTCCGATCAGGTTCGCCACCCTGTGTGTTTCCATCGGCCTTAGGAGACCATCGCTCCCGGGCTCCTGTGGAATGGGCAGCTAGAGATGGCACCTGTGAGGCGGAGACGCCAGGAGCCCGGCCGGCCGCCGCCTCAGGGGCGCTGCAGGAGGGGCCTCTGTCCCCGCCGACGGCGTGCAGACCAGCCCACGGGGCACCAGTCGGGCGTGGCCTCCTTGAGGTCCTTGTCCAGGAAGCCCCCGGGGGCATCTGCGTGTCGCGTGCCTCTCACTGGCTTTAAGAAGAGTCCAGCTCATGAGAGAAGTTTCCAGAAGGGCAGGCAGCCAAGAGAGAAATGAGAAGTCATGGAGGACCACGCTGTCCATCTCCACAGCCAGCCAGACTCAGGGTGGCTTCACGACACAGAGGTGTCAACCACCGTGGCTCCACCCCAGCCCCCCGCAGAAAGAAGGCCTGTCGGCGACCGGGTCACTGGGGAGCCTCGACTCTCCTGAGGTCACCCGAGACAGACACCTCACTGCCCCACCCCCCGGGCATGTGGTCTCAGCCAGCCGGGACCCCGGTCCTCGGACTGTCCCCGGGCCCCTTTTGCTGGTCAACCCAAACAGCCCTGCTTGAATGTTCTCAGATGGGAGTGGCTGAGTGTAACGTTTCCTTGAAAAGCACTTTCCCAAAGTGTCTTCTTCAAAATAGTGTAAGTCACTGAGGGGGCATCGGTTGCTTCCGCTCCCTAACCGATCACTAGAACGGAAGGAAGGAGCCAGGTAGACAGGGGTGTGGGCCCCGCTGTGCCTGCGCCCGTTTGCACCGCGTCTCCGCGCCCTGAGCGCTCGCTCGTTCCCACAAAAATCCTCTGAGGTAGAAGTTATTATTTGCAAATGAAAACCGAGACTCAGAAAGTTAAAGTAACTCTTTGAGGTCACACAACTTTTTTATATTGAGAGAGAGAGAGGGAGGGAGGGAGGATGGGCGCACAAGCAGGGGGAGGGACAGAGAGGGAGAGAATCTTAAGCAGACCTCACACTCAGTGCAGAGCCCGAGTTGGGACTCGATCCTACGACCCTGGCATCGTGACCTGAGCCAAAATCAAGAGTCAGACGCTCAACCGACTGAGCCCCCAGGTGCTCCAAGGTCACACAGTTATAATAAGCAGAACAACGGAAGCTTCTGGCACTTTGGATCTTCTTTTCAGAATAACAACATTTCGGAAAAGTAACATGCCATGCACTTCCTGTGGCCCTGGGGCAGGCGTGGGGCCCCAGTGAGGTGACCGAAGGGCCCAGGAGAGCCACGTCCAAAAAGTAAGGCGTGCGTCCCTGGTCTCCGGAGAAACAGTGACGATCGGTGCGTGTCTTGTGGGAGCCGCCACTGCACACGTCCAGACGCAGGCGCCTGTCCCCGGGGCGGAAGGACGAGTCTGTGGTTCCCAGCCGGCGTGCGTCCCGGAACCCTCACGAGAGGCTTCGCCCGCTGCTGTATCTGGTGTGCGGTGGGGCCCAGGTGCCGGCATCCTCAGCCCCAGGACGTGTCGCTCCGTGCGTGCTCAGCAGTAGTAGCCTTTGCAGGAGGTCGTCACCGGGGCCGCGAGGACGGGCGTCAGCAGGCAGGTTCCTGTTCTGCCACCGAGGACTCCTGGGTTTGGTGGCCGTGAGGTACACATGCTTGACGCGGTCGTCTCTGACCCTGTTCCCAAAATCTTCGTGTGAAAAACTAAACTGGGATTTGTTACGCCAACAACAGTGCGGAAACCTCAGCACGGTCGTCTTGGACCAGCGGACACGTTTCTGCGCCAAAACTAAAGAATAATGAGAAGCGCTGAGAACTTTAGGTACGAACAACACCCCCGTCTTTCCAGGGGGGGATCATCCTTTCCCGCCTCTTGGAGGCGCCTCAGCTCTAAGACCACAGGAGAGCGAGATTTTAGAGACACTCCCTTCCTTCTCGTGTCCAGGCTTTTCTCCCCGAGGAAGAGAATGCTTCTCCTGTGTTCCTTTGCTTTTATGCCGATTCCCCAGCAGTGAGGTGACAGGTGCAGAGGCGTGGCCTTGACCACCGCCCCCTCACCAGGTGGCCCCAGGGCAGGGGTGGCCTGTGTCTCCCCAGTCGGCACACTTGTCCATAAATGAAGTTTCACCCGAGTGATGTCTTGTAGGGTCATCCGCACAGAACGGCAGTGCGCTAAAGAGAGAATTCTCTGGAGGGAGCTACAATGCCAAGTGGCCGCCCATGCCCTCCCCGTCGGAGGGCTCCCTGTCTTCTGGAGGCATGGACCAGGGAAGCGACGCCCCGGTCAGGGACTTTGATGGAGAGGTGAGTGCGGGGCGTAGCAGCTGGTGGCAATCCTGGGTCCGAGAGACCCGGGCACTTGGGGCACCTGGGCGGCTCAGTGGGTTAAGCCTCCGGCACGTGATCTCAGCTCGGGTCTTGACCTCCGGGTGGCGAGTTCAAGCCCCGCACCGGGCCCCACGCTGGGCTTAAAGCCTGTTTTTAAAAAAAATAATGACTTGAGAGGGACCCCGGACGGGAGTGGGGCGGGGCCGAGCCAGGCCAGTCCCCGGGGCCACAAACTGCAGTTTTGCTGGGACGTCCTGCTAGCTTTGGCACGAGAAAGGCCGCAGAGAGGACTGGCCGCAGAGAGGTCCTGTGCCCGTGATACAGCTCTTGAGAAGGGGCTTCGTCACTGACGGAGACCAGGCCCACCAGGTTCCTTGCGCGGGGTGGCCGCGGGGTGGCCGCGGGGTGGCCATGGGGAGCCAAAGCCCCCCGGCGCCGTCGCTTCTCACCGCCGTCTTCTCGGGCCTCCAGGACTCGGATTCTCCGAGGCATTCCACGGCCTCCAACAGCTCCAACCTGAGCAGCCCGCCCAGCCCCGCGTCGCCCCGCAAGACCAAGAGCCTCTCCCTGGAGAGCACGGACCGCGGGAGCTGGGACCCGTGAGTGGCCTCGGCGCTCAGAGTGGACGCCGGAGCGGCCTCTCCCCTCACAGCCCCTCCGCGGCCCGATCTCCGCTTCCCCGCCCCCGCTCCCCAGCCCCTGCCCGGGAGGCCCGGGCCGGGCAGCAGGAGCAGGGTGGGGGTTCTGGAACGCGGACGATGCACCTGCAGCCCCCCTCGCCCCCCTCGCCCCCACTCAGCCCACACCTCCACGCCCCCTCGCCCCCTCGCGCCGACAGCAACAACCATAAAGGCAGACTTCCACTGAGCAGCTTCGATGAATATCGATTCCATTTCGTACACTTAGAGTTGCTTTCCCTAAAAGTTTGGCCCCCCCCACAAAGGTAGCTTGAGTAGACGGATCCCACGGACGGCGCGGTGAGAACTTCAGACGGACTGGTGTCCTCGGGGAGTCGCACCCTCCTGAGCGGCCGCCCGGCGCGCCCACAGCGGATGTCGACCCGATCGCCGCTAGTAAATCCGTACTCACTAAAGCAGTGCATATTTTACTACATTACAGAGTTTAAATACGTACACAAATGTAGAGGTTAAATACTGAATGTACATAGTAAAAAGAAGCATCTTGTATTCAACAAAAGATGGATACGTATATAAGAGAGAGATCATTTAATTTAAAGAAATGTGTTGTTTCTTGTCTGTTTTCCAGCTCAGTACTTTAGAGGGTAGGAAGGCCTTGGGTGTAGACGCTCACAGGCTTGAGGAGTCAGAGCACCCCCCTCCCAACCCCGGCCGGCTCTCACACCAGCCGGGGCCGCAGTCCCACGGGGGCTTCAGGAAAACCTTCCGGAACTTGGTCTCGCCGCTCTGGGCTGCGGCCCGGGCACAGGCCTGACCCCGGAAGGTCCTTCAGCAGCAGCGTCGAAAGGCTAATCTCCTTCCAAGAGCTGTCCTTTTCCGGCAGCAGGATTCCAGCCACGCTTGTCCTTTTTTACTGTGTTTGGTATCTTCTGCAGATGAGTGTAGAAATGCCGTCTTGTCACGTCCTGAGCCCTTCCGTTGAGAGGACGCGAGGAACGTCACGGCTTCTGAGGGTCCCTAACAAGGTTCAGAGAAGTGCTTTTCTCCTGGGCTACCCCAGTTCCCGCGCTACCCCCTGGGCGGAGGGGGGCTCGCGCTCCGCAGAGAAGCCCCAGGAAGAGTGTCGTTACCAAATAAAAAACCTCAGATGCAAGGACTTGAACAGCCTTAACCAAATATTCTTCCCCACACCGGGCGGGAGACGGAAACGCGCGGCCCGGGCGCGGGCAGGACGCCGGGGAGCCGCCACCTGGCCCGGCCCACGTCCCTCCCTGCGCGGCTCAGGCTCCGGTTCCGCCCAGGTGAGCACCGTTCCGGCCACCGCGAGCCAGTGAAACGCACACCCAGCACAGCCCTGCTTCTTGAGACGTAGTTCGCCAGTTAAGCACATGTGAGCGGAGGGAGAGAGAAATAAAAATATCTCCTGGAAGTAGAGTGGGTCTCAAAATGTCACTTTTTATCTTAAATTCCTCTGGGAGCTAGAAACGCGATTTGTCCTCTCCCTAGACTTCAGCCAACAGGGAACCTGCGTGGCGGTGTGTGAGCACCGTCTCCGCAGGGCGCACCCCTCTCGGCGGAGCCGGGACCGTCTCCAGGTCGATGCTACCCCGAGAGGGCACCGGGAGGTTCTGGAGGGAAGGAGGTTCCCAGTGGCGGCGGCGGTGGGGGGGGGGGGGGCGCTGTGTTGCAGAAGCGTCGCGGTAGAGGACTTACAAATGACGGGTTTGGTAGTCAAGCGGTCGGCAGGGTGCTTGCGTGGGCAGGGGGGCTGCGGGCGGGCCTCGCGTACTGCGCGGTCCTAAGCTCCTAGATCTTTCTGCTTCGGGGAAAGAGTGGTCGTGTGAAGCGTTCCCGGCTGTCCAGATGTCGAGGATCAGACCTTGAGTTTGCTTCCTGCCCTAGACCGGGTGGCGCTGTGAACCCAGCACTTGGGGGGGAGGAGGCCAGCCGCCTCCCCTCCTCCCCTCCTCCCGGCCCTCCCTTTCCCCTGGCCCTTCCCCTCCCCGCGCGCCGCACCCCCACGCTGAGCCTTTAGCTTATAGCTGTGACAACCACGTGTGAATTTTTGTTGCCTGTAGGTGCTTATTTTTTAAAGGATGCTTTCAGGATCAAAGTACCCCCCCTGCCCGAAGCCTGGACCCCACTGCAGTGAGTCATGGCGGGCAGAGCAGAGCGCCCCCTAAGGCTTGGCCCGCAGCCCGGCTCTCAGGGAACTGCACCCCAGCACTTTTTGTTTCCTCCACAGCAGGCTTACAGAGCGGTCCCCGGTGTGACAGATTCTGACAGCAGGGCTTTGCAGGAGCAGCACCGAGGGTGATGGGGGGCGGGGGGGGGGTCCCCGAGATAACGACCCTTCCACTGGGCTTACCCCACTCGTAAGGACAGAGCCGTTGCCAGTTGCCGTCGGAAGCTCCTCGGCATGACCTGGAAAGACCGGGGCGGGTCCCAGGGCAAACGACACGTGCTGTTCATTCGAAGGGATCTGCAGCAGAGATCGGCAGCGGCATCGCTGTCCGAAGTCATTTGTCGTCCCGCGGGACCTTTTAAGAACCGGTAGGGCGGCCGGAGCTCGTTTCGCAGTAGGAAGGAAGGGTCGGAGAGGCGCTCGCGGCTGGTCTCTCCGCGTTGGTATTCGGTGCTAGGTCTGTCTGGCCCACCCGTTGTCTGCCCTCGACTTCTCACGAATTTCATTGTGCGTGCTTTGGGTATATAAAATTATATGCGTACATGGCTGTTTCTTTTTGCCAAATACAAAAGCCTTCCTCTTCGTCACCTGATCACAGAAGATTCCCACAGCCCTACGTACGTGGGCGATGCGTGCTCGGTCCCGGGAGCAGTTTGAAGGGCAGGAGCCCGGGCCGGAAGGGCCTGTCCGTTCAGTTTCCCACGCAGCCCTCGTACTCAGGCTTCTGGGGAGAATCCGAAATTCCTGTTTGCGGCGACAGTCTGTCACTCCCTGGCTGGCGCTCGGCCCCACTCGGCCTCCGTGTGGCTAGAGTCACATCTGTGTCGTGAGTGCCACGTGCACTTCGGCGAGAGACCGGTTGCTTTCACGAGGACTCTCAGGTATCACTCAAGGGCCAGAGCAGGCGCCGGCCGGCGTCCCGAACACCCGCCCCCGGGCACAGCAGGGCCGTTCTGGTCACAGACACCGTGGCCCCCTGGCCGGGTGGGGCCCTGGAAACTCCCCACCCGTGTCTGGGCGGAGGGGCACGCTCAGCGGCCACACAGGGCACAGGCCGGGCGCCTCCGCCCCCAGTGGCCCTGGCCGGGCCCCTGACCCAGCAGGCAAGCTGCACGGCGGTTCATCGAGCTCCCCCTGAAGCCCCTTCCCTTGTTGGGACTCGATCGCTTGAGTCCAGATCTCGGCAGGGTCCCTCCGGGGAAGAGGGCCGGTTCGGCAGGAGCGGGTGTCAGCCGTCAGCCGGGGCCGGTGGGCCGAGCCAGCCCTCCTCCCCAGGACGACTGCCACACACGGGCAACCCTGTCGCTCATGGGGCCAATTGACGAAAACAGACCTTGAGATTTCATGAGAACAAGATCTGCCTTTTCATTTGATAGTGTAATATCATTTATTTTATAAATTTTTTAGGGTTTTTTCTCATTGTAATATTGTACAGTTTTGCATGGCCTAGGTGTAATCATTTTTTTGTTCAGAATATAATGCGGACAAATGTGTGTATGGAAGGAAAAAGTCTGTTGCGTTGGCCTCTGATCACTCTGGATTTTCTTTGGTCTTATGCCCTCAATGTTTTAGGGAAGTTTCTAAGAGATTCTCTGCTACCAGACAATGGTGTGGATTCTTTTGCACAGAAATACTGAAGGTGGGACAGTCAAAAATGTAACAAGACTCCTCGCCAATATTTTATGTTGGTCTCGATATTAACCAGAATTTGATGTATTGCAATAAAACAGGGAACTGTTGGACTTGACTGTTTCGTCTGTTCTCCCCGACTGAAACGTCTGGGGGGCGGAGGAGAGGTGACTGACTCCTGGTCTTACTGGGTCCCGCCTCCGGCCCGTCCCCATCCCCTCCCTGCAGGACCCGGGATTCGTGGAACCTAGGACTTCCTTAGGTCCGGGGAGCAGTCCGATCTCCTCCGGCCAGGCCCCGCCCGAGGCACCCTCGGCGGCCCCACTGCGTGCAGCTGCCAGGCTGAGGACCCTCTGCGTGGCCAGTTCCCCCCTGGCTGTCACGTCCGACTGTACCAACCGGTGGTGGCTGGTTTTCTGTCTGCTTCCTGCATTTAGTGCCTCCGCCCCTGTCCCCGGATCAGGACGAAGGGCACATCGGGGGACACGCAGGCCAGGCCGGGAGCTCTTAACAAGGTAAAGTGAAACTGGCTGAGACCCGCTCCCCACCCCCTACCCCCCGTGCCATTTCACACACAGTTGACGGTCCTGTTGTGGGTGTAACGGCCGCCTCGTCACAGAGGCAGGTGTGCGGCAGGCTCGGCCAACTTTCCGTAAGAGGCCCGGAGACCCAGGCTGCGCAGGCCCTGCCGGTAGGTGTCTCCGGAGTAGCTGCGGCCCTTCCGTGGGTGGCCAGGGTGAGGGGGACACCCGGCTGCCTCCCCTCTCTTCCCGTGCTGAACGCAGACAGAGCTTTCCGGGGCATGACACTGACCCTGACCCTCTCCCAGCGGAAGGACGAACACCACAGTGCTGGGATGGTGAGTTTCGGTGTTCTTTTTAATATTGAAACAAATCTGACCATTACAAGAATTGTACAAAAATTAACAGCCTGTAACGACCCCCCAGCTCTAAGCAGGCGCCATCTGCACCTCCGTCTCCTCCACAAAAGCCCTGGGGCCTGGAGGGGGAAGGGGGGGCCCCACACCAACTTCCCACACAGAGACCAGGGCGGGATCGCTCCCACCCGTCGCGGGCCGCGTCAGTTCTGCGGAAACTTCCACGCGTCGGGAGTATACAGACCAGCCAGGGAGCGGGCAGGGCCTGCTCAGAGCACAGGCTGGAGGGAAGGGCAGAAAACACAAATCTCATTCTAGAAGCACACACACGAGCCTTAGGCTTCACGGTCAGTAAAAATCCGGGGGCTCCTCGGTATTTCTGGCGGCAGAGGTTCCCGGGGAACGCGCTCACCTTCCGGCGAACATTCCATCAGGAACATCCCCGGGCCCGAAAGGGAAAAAAGGAGAGAAGGCCGTCTTATCTTTACCTGCTTCAGAGGCTCCACACGCACGCACAGACTGGCGGCGCGGCCGGGCCCCGCGCCCTCTTAGCGGTCGGAACCGCCTAGAAGCAGCGGCCTCTCCGGAGCCGCCCGCGTGGACGCCCCAGTCCCCCCGCCTCGCCCCGCTACTGCTCGGCCTGCCGCCGGCGGTAGTTGCTGTAGGCCTCCTCGAACATGGCCTTGCAGGGGAAGCGGGCCTTGAGCTTGGAGCAGATGAGGAAGGAGCCCCCCATCTTCCTGTGCAGGGAGTAGGTCTCCTCGGGGGGCGGGACGAGGCGGTGCTTCAGCATGATGGGGATCAGGTTGTGGATCTTCTCGGTGGTGCTCTGCGTGCCGAAGTCAAAGGGCCCCTCCGAGGCGAAGGCTTCCCCCAGGATCAGGATGGCGTCCAGATGGGCGTCCTCCATGGCCTGGGGGGGGGGGGGGGGGGGGGGGGGGGGCCGGGGCCCCCCCCCCCCCCCCCCGCGTTTTGAAGGGGCGGGCAGGGGCGGGTTAACGCGATGAGCGAGTGGTGACCGGGGCCGAACTCCCAACACGTGCCACTCGCGCCCTCAGCGCCGGTGCCAGGCCGCCCGCGCTCCCCCCGCCCCGCTCCAGGTCTACGCGGGCCCATCCTGCCTGGGCCAGGCCGGCCTGGAGCGCAGGGCGGGAGGAGAGGACGCCGCCGCCTCTCCCTCCATCCAGTTGTAAGTCGAGGTTCGGCTTCAAAGGGAAGAGTCCCGCCCCCCCCCCTCCCCACGCACAGGCCTCCGGGCCCTGCAGGGCTGACCTTGACCTCGTAGCCTGTGAGGAACTTCATCTCTATGGATTTCTTCAGCACCGCCTCCCTGTCCCTGTCGGCGGCTGCCCTGATGATCTGGGGGGACGCACACCAGGGACCGACAGCGGCTCCTGAGGAGGCGTTCCCGGGGCCGGGGACCCCCAACTGCCCGCCCCCCCCCTCGTCCCCCCCCCCGGCCCCTCCCCAGCGGAGCTCCGGGGGGCTCACCTTGTGCTGCTGAGGGTCATAGAAAAAGTTGGACCAGTTGGGGTCCGTCTGCATGAAGTGGAACTCGAACAGCTCCCGCAGGCACAGGACCAGGATGTTGTAGCAGATCTGGGGGCGGGCGGGCGGGCGGGCGGGCGGCCGGGTCACCGCGGCCCCTTCTCCATCCTCCACCCGCCCCGCCCTCTGCTGCGCAAGGGCCCCTGACTCCAGGTGTGCCAGGCATGGGGACACGGCGGCACCCCCCCATCCCCTTTGTCCCAAGGCCCGGTCAGACACACCTCGTTCCGGATCTCCTGGCTCAGCCCCTCCGCCTGGTCCAGGGGGAAACCGGACACCAGCTCCGTGGTCAGCACGTGGGGGCTACAGAGCTCGTCCACGATCTCAGGCACGTAGAAGAAGGGGTGGTCCTTCAGCAGCTCCCTGCAGGGGTGGGGGCGGTGGGGGAGTCACACCCCGGCCACAGAGTCTCACCCCCTCACCCCAGGCCCCGACCACAGCCATCACCCATCAGCCCCTCCGCCCCTCCCGCTGCACCTGAACTTGCGGGCACAGGCCGCCTCCCGCTGGTAGTCACACTCCAGGGCCAGCTCCCGCCTCAGCACATCGATCAGGTGCTCGGGGAACAGGCCTGGGCAGGGAGGAGGGGGTCAGCGCGGGCTGGGGGCTCCTCTTGGGTCCCCAGAGCCCATCCTGAACGCCTGCCCTTGACCCACAGCCAGTCTGACCTTCAGGAAGCATGTTGCTCATGTTCAGCACGGCCATAAGGTTGTTGACGTCACTGTTGATGCTCTGGGCCACACCCGGGTACTGAGGGGGGACAGAGGGGTCCCCGGGCAGACAGGGCGGCCGCTGGCCTGCTGGCTTCCCGGCCGAGTCCCGCCCAGACCCCGCCCCAGGCTGAGGGACAGCTCAGACCCCACGATGCTGCCAGGACCACCGGATCCCATCACGACCTGGTTCTCCACCGTCCGCCCCCAACCGAGCCTGCAGGGAGGCCGGTGTCCCTCCGCAAATCCCTCCCTTCCCAGCACTGCCCTGGCGCTGGGGACGGACACGAGGAGACGCGGCCCCGCCCCAGAGAGGGGGGGGCGCCCGGGGGGGCGGATGCGTAGCTTGCCGAGACCCCGACGCCACGGGGCCCCGGCTGTGCCCTCCGCAGCCCCCCACCCCCACCCGGGCACGGGCGCACACGCGGGTGCCCACCTGGATCTTCATGGCCACCTCGCGGCCGCCCTTCATGCGAGCCAGGTGCACCTGCCCGATGGACGCGGCCGCGAAGGGCCGCTCCTCAAAGTACTCCAGCTTGTCCCGCCAGCCAGGGCCCAGGTCACCGTTGAGGGTCTTCTGGTGGGAGGACAGAGGCGGGGAGGGGCCGTGAGCGCAGCCTGCCCTGACAGGCGCCCCCCGCCCCCCGCACAGCCCGCCTCACCATCATCTGCTTCAGCGGCATGAAGTCCGCGCTCTGCCTCACCCGCTCGAAGATCTTGGCCAGATGGGGGTTGATGAAAGCGTCGTCTGGAAGGCACCCGAGAGAGGAGAGCAAGGGGCCGGCCGCTCAGGGAAGGAGCCCGGCGGGGCGGGGCGCGGCACGGCAGCCACCTCAGGGGCCCCGGTTGCGCCCAGGGAAGGCGACCGAGACGCCGCTCTGCCCTGCACGCACCGGGAGCCGGGCTCAGAGGCCACAGGGCTCGGAGGCCACAGGGCACGGGCCCGAGGCCGCGCGGCGGCTCCGGCCTGGCACGCAGGCCCCTGAGGCTGTAGACGGAGGCTCGGGAGGGGACGTGGGGACGCCGGCCAGGCCGCGCACCCTCTCCGGGCCCCCTCCTTCCACTCCCCCCCCCCAGGGCCCCCTCCCAGCGGGGCCGAACTCCCGCCCCCCCCTCACCCCGCAGGGCCCACTCACCCTGGATACTCAGCATCTGGCCCAGCTTGAGCGCCGCCCCGCGCACCTTGCACAGCGTGCGGACGATGCGCTCCGCGTTCGCCTCGGACAGGAAGGGGCTGGAGTCCAGCACGGCCTTCTTCCCTGCGGGCCGGAGCCGGGTCAGCACGCGGCGCCTGGCCCCTCTCGGGGTGTCTCCGGGCCTCACCCCGCCCGGGAGGGGCACGAGCCCGGGGAGCTGCTGGGGGCGGCCGTCAGGCGGCCGCGGGGGCCCGAGCGCGACCCAGCCCCACGGCCCCTGGGCCCGACGCCTCAGGGACATCTCCATCCTCCCGGTGAAAACAGGGACGGGACGCTTCAGGACGCGGAGACTTTCAAGAGCGGCGCGGAGAGACCCGGCACAGAGCCCGACGCGGGGCCTCCGTCCTCCTGGCGGGGCCTCCGTCCTCCTGGCGGGGC